TCCTTCCATCTTCTTTTAATACTTCCGGGATCATTTAACATTCTGCCGAAAACATCCTTGATTATAGCAACTCGAGGTTTGAATTTGTTCTTCATTTCCTTGAGCTTAAGATATGCTGAGCAAGTTCAGCCCTTTTGATTTTCTGACTCCAACTCCTTGCACATTTCATTGTAATATTTTATTTTGTCATCCTGTGCTGCCTTTTGAAATCTTCTATTCAACTCTTTATTATCTTGAATTCTTCCTTGTGCTTTGGCTTCTCTGCACTCCAGTGCAATTTTCAGAGTATCTTCTGACATCCATTTTGGTCTTTTCTTAAGAGAGGGTAAAACCACACTGCTCCTTGGGTCAAGGATTCTGAAGCTTCGTCTGACATACTTTGGGCATGTTGCAAGGAGGGACTGGTCCTTGAAGAGGGACATTATGTTTGGGATGGCGCAGGAGAGGAAGACCCTCGATGAGATGGATCTATTTTGTGATTAGTGGGTAGGAGTAAGTGTGTCAGAGACGGTGAGGTTGGCACAGGATAGAGCAGGGTTTAGGGCTCTTTTACATAGGGTCGCTATGAGTCGCAAGTGACTCAAACGGCACATAGCAACAACAACGACCTTAGGTAAATGCTCATTTTTAGCATGCTAACTGGAATGCTCTGTAGAGGCAGGAATGGTGAAACTTCATATCACATACTTTGAGTATGTGGTCAGGAGGGGCCAGTCCTTGGAACAAGACATCATGCTGGGCAAGGTGGAGCCTCAGTGAAAAAGAGGAAGACTCTCAACAAGATGGATTAACAGAGTCACAACAAATGGGCTCAAACATATCAGAGATCATAAGGATAAAACAAGATTCCAATCAATTGTTGATTGTGATCAATTCCAATCACTATGCATTGCAGTTGACTTGAGGGCACCTAACAAACAACAACAGCATTAGCTATAGGAAGAAGCCTGGTGGTGCAGTGATTAAGGTCTAGCTATACACAGTCAGCAGTTTGAGAGAAAGATACAGCATTTGCCTTTCATAAAAATAAACCTCATGCAATATTATTCAAAATGGGTGACCCTGGAGGACATTATGCTGAGTGAGGTATCTCAGTCACAAAGGGACAAATGCTATATGGTGCCA